ATGAGAGTATAGTTTTACCAACGCTCTTATATGGGTGTGAAGCATGGGTGATGAATGTTGCAGCGAGGAGAAGGCTGGAGGCAGTGGAGATGTCATGTCTGAGGTCAATGTGTGGTGTGAATATAATGCAGAGAATTTATAGTTTGGAAGTTAGGAGGCGGTGCGGGATTACCAAAACTGTTGTCCAGAGGGCTGAGGAAGGGTTGTTGAGGTGGTTCGGACTTGTAGAGAGAATGGAGCGAAACAGAATGGCTTCAAGAGTGTATCAGTCTGTAGTGGAAGGAAGGCGGGGGTAGGGGTCAGCCTAGGAAAGGTTGGAGGGAGGAGGTAAAGGAGGTTTTGTGTGCAAGAGGCTTGGACTTCCAGAGCATGCGTGAGCGTGTTTGATAGGAGTGAATGGAGACAAATGGTTTTTAATACTTGACGTGCTGTTGGAGTGTGAGCAAAGTAACATTTATGAAGGGATTCAGGGAAACCGGCACTCCGGACTCGAGTCCTGGAGATGGGAAGTACAGTGCCTGCACTTTGAAGGAGGGGTGTTAATGTTGCAGTTTAAAAACTGTGTACGAATGGTATACAATACCGACAAAATGAGATTAAGACACTGCTTTTAACATTTCTGTCATGATCCCGTCAGTTCCAGCTGCTTTACCCCCTTTCATTCGACGTAATGCCTCGAGCACCTCCCCCACACTCACATCCTGCTCTTCTTCAATCCTAAATGATGGTATACCTCCCTGGCCAGTGCATTTCTTTGTTGACATTTAAAAGTTCCTCAAAATATTCTCACCATCTACCCAAAACCTCCATCTCCCCATCTACTAACTCCCCTACTCTGTTTTTAACTGACAAATCCATTTGTTCCCTAGGCTTTCTTAACTTGTTTAACTCACTCCAAAATTTTTTCTTATTTTCATTAAAATTTCTTGACAGTACCTCTCCCACTCTATCATCATAACACTTCTGCTTTGTAGATACCTCTCATAAGCTACCCTTTTATCTTTTATCACACCCTTTACTTCATCATTCCACCAATCACTCCTCTTTCCTGCTGCACCCACCCTCCTATAACCACAAACTTCTGTCCCACATTCTAATACTGCATTTTTAAAACTATTCCAACCCTCTTCAAGCCCCCCCCCACCATCATACCTGCACCAGCCCACCTTTCTGCCAATAGTTGCTTATATTTCACCCAAACTTCCTCCTCCCTTAGTTTATGCACTTTCACCTCCCTCTTACTTGTTGTTGCCATTTTCCTCTTATCCCATCTACCTCTTACTCTAACTGTAGCTACAACTAGATAATGATCCGATATATCAGTTGCCCCTCTATAAACGTGTACATCCTAAAGCCTACCCATCAACCTTTTATCCACCAATACATAATCTAACAAACTAAATAACAAAAAGGCACAATACCGTGACTGGAACGATACACAGATAACCCGCACGTAGAAGAGAGGAGCTAACGACGACGTTTCGGTCTGACTTGGACCACCCTACCTGAAAACTCTAGAACTGCAGACACATTCATCACTTTCAAAACTACAGTTAGAAAACATCTTATCTCCCTGATCCATCCCGACAACTGACTACATGATAACCACCTGGTGGTTCAAAATTACACTCACTCACCCACTGACTATAAACCCAGAAATACTAATCTTAATCTTAAAATAATAAATCCTAACTAATCATAAGTTTGCCTATGTTACTCAAATATAGACACCTTGTATTGTGCCAAAACAAAAGCATTCACATTGCTAAACTCAAAATTATGATGTAGTCACTTAGCCTTAATACTATAATCTGGTTTACATGTAGTTAATGATTACAGAGTGTACCACTAGAACACCTAGCATGGCTAGGCATTTCGGGCAGACTTAGTTTAATTCTTTATTTTAAAATATTACAAATTATGAGGTAAGTTGGTATTAATGCTAAGTGACTAAATACTAGTTTGTGAGTTTAGCAATGTGAATGCTTTTGTTTTGGCACAGTACATAGTTTCGGTATTGTAGTATCATAGGATTCATTATTTTAAGATTGAGATTAATATTTCTGTTTATGGTCAAATGGGTGAGTCAGTGTAAGTGTGAACCACCAGGTGGTATTCGTGTAGTTAGTTGATGGGGTTTATCAGGGAAATAAGATGTTTTCTAATGGTAGTTTTGAAGGTGATGAATGTGTCTGCAGTTCTAGAGTTCTCAGGTAGGGTGTTCCAGATTTTAGGGCCTTTGACGTACATTGAATTTTTGTAAAGGTTTAGTCGGACATGGGGAATGTCGTAGAGATGTTTGTGTCTGGTGTTATGCCTGTGGGTTCTGTCACAACTATCAAGAAAGCGTTTTAGGTCAAGGTTGATATTGGAGTTTAAGGTCCTGTAGATGTAGATTGCACAGTAGTAAGTGTGGATGTACTGAACAGGGAGTAAGTTTAGATCTATGAAGAGTGGGGGGGTGTGTTGCCGGGGATGGGATTTAGTGATTATTCTTACTGCAGCTTTTTGTTGGGTTATTATTGGCTTTAGGTGTGTTGCTGCAATTGATCCCCAAGCACAAATAGCATAGGTGAGGTATGGATAAATAAGTGAGTGGTATAGTGTGAGAAGGGCATTTTGCGGCACGTAGTATCGTATCTTGGAGAGGATCCCAACTGTTTTGGATACTTTTTTGGTTATGTGTTGGATGTGGGTGCTGAAATTCAGGTTGTTGTCAAGGTATAGGCCTAGGAATTTGCCCTCATTATGTCTGGTAATTAGAGTGTTGTCGATCTTAATGTTAATTTGTGCATCTCCTGCTCTGCTACCAAACATAATATAGTAGGTTTTGTCAGTGTTAAGCGTAAGTTTATTGGCTGTCATCCAAGTCGATATTTTGATCAGCTCCTCGTTAACAATGGTGTTGAGGGTGGCAAGATTAGGGTGAGAGATGACATAAGTCGTGTCGTCAGCAAAGAGAATGGGTTTCAGGTGTTGGGATACGTTTGGAAGATCATTGATGTATATGAGGAAGAGCAGGGGACCAAGGACACTTCCCTGCGGTACTCCAGTATCAAGTGGCCGAGTTGTTGATGCTGTGTCTTTAATGGTAACATACTGATACCTATTAGTAAGGTAAGATTTGAAATAAGCAAGCGCATGGCCTCTTATACCGTAATGGTCAAGTTTGTGGAGTAGGATGTCGTGGTCTACTGTGTCAAAAGCTTTTCTTAGGTCAATAAAAATTCCTAGTGGATATTCCTTATTTTCCAATGCTGTGTAAAGCAGATCTAGCATTTTTATGATTGCATCATTAGTGCTTTTATTTTTCCTAAATCCAAATTGGCAGGGGTTGAGTATGTTTTGTGCTGTTATAAATGAATATAGTCTCCTGTGCACGAGTTTCTCAAAGATTTTGGATAGCAATGGTAAGTTTGATATTGGCCTATAGTTGTTTAAGTCTGTAGGGTCACCACCTTTATGTATTTGTGTAACCCTTGCCATCTTGAGTAGTTTCGGGAAGGTGCTAGTTTCTAATGACTTGTTAAAAGTAATGAAATAGCATGCGAAAGGATATGGGCCGCTCGCTTGTACAGTAATGGTGGGACATTAGACAGATTCCCTGAGTTGTTTTTAAGTGACTTTATAATCTCGGTGACTTCCGAGGGCTCAGTTGGTGCAAGATAGAAGGAATTTGGGAAATTCCCATCTAGGTAGTTCCCGGCATGGGCATTAGTATGTTGGATTTTATTGGCGAGATTAGATCCCATGGTTGAGAAGAAGTCGTTTATCTTGTTAGCTGTGTCAGTGGGATGTAGTGGTGTTTCATTAGGTTTAGTTAGGACAATATTCTTGGTTTTTTTCAGTTTGTGGGTCCCTAGAATCTGAGAGAGTGTTTTCCAGGTCTTTTTTATATCTTCTCTAGTGTCTGTGAATCTACTGGAGTAGTATAGTTGTTTGGCTTTCTTTATTACTTTGGTGAGAACTGATGAATAGTGTTTAAGAATATCTTTGTGTATTAAGCCCTGTCTATATTGCTTTTCATATTGGTGTTTCTTGTCAGTGGATTTCAGAATGGTGCTGGTTAGCCATGGGCAACCAAGCCGTTTGTTTGTGATCTGTTTCGTTTTTATAGGACAATGTTTGTTGTATAGTCTAAGTAATTTGTTAAGAAAAATGTCTGTCCAGTCATCAATACCATTGGCCTTGGAGAATTCTGTAGGCCAGTCAACAGTCTCTAGGTCAGCTGTGAACTTCCTTATTGAGGCCTCATCATGGAGTCTAAATGAAATTTTGTTGTATTCAAGTGGTGGTTTACTAATGTTTGTCAGGAGGAAGGTAGGGTAGTGGTCTGTAGTGCTATCTGTGATTATCCCTGATTTAAGGGGGGCTAGTACATTGGTCCATATGTGGTCTATTATGGTTGCACTTGTCTCAGTGAGCTTGGTTGGTTTAGTTATTGTTGGTATGAGAAGTGTGTTGTTCATATTGTTGATGAAATCAGTTACAGGCTGATCATCTAGTCGGACCGAAATGTCGTCGTAAGCTCCTCTCTTCTGTGTGCGGGTTATTTGTATATCTAACAAACTACTTTCATTACATGCTATATCATACCTTGTATATTTATTTTTCCTCTTTTTCATAAAATATGCATTACTTACTACCAAACCTCTTTCTACACATAGCTGAATTAAAGGCTCCCCCTTTTCATTTGCCCTTGGCACCTCAGATTTACCTACTACTCCCTCCACAACATTTTTACCCACTTTAGCATTAAAATCCCCAACTACAAGTACTCTCACACTTGGTTCAAAACTCCCCACGCATTCACTTAACATATCCCAAAATCTCTCTCTCTCTCCTCTATACTTCTCTCTTCCCCATATATTATATATGATAAATTATATTTTTGTAAACATCTTGTATATATGCAGTATATGCTAATATACGTATCAAGGTGGTTTTGTACAAGTAAAGCACCATTATTCTACAGAAAGTAAATTTATGATTCTTTTCAGTCAATACCATTAAACAGACGGAAGAAATGCCAGTAATTCGTAAAGCTGATTTGGAGAATCACAACAAAGATGGAGGCCTGTGGATTGTAGTTAATGGAAAAGTATATGATGTTCAGGAATTCAGGTAAGTGGAAAAATATGTTATAATAAACTCACTATAGAAGCAGAGTGTTGTTTCATTAAATTCAAGTTATGCATGCTGTCCTCCTCAAGCACCCTATGAAAACGTTAATTTCTTAACCCTTTGAGGGTCGGTGCCGTAGATCTACGGCTTTATGTTCAGGGTCCAAACCGTAGATCTGCGCCAAAATTCTAGCAGCGTCAAATTTAGCGCAAAAACGCTGGTAAGCCTACATATCAGAGAACGGGTCTGCGTGGTGTGTGTGCACTGTAAACAAAAGCTCTAGGCGCCCGCATAGCAGTGTGGGAACACCGGCTCCCTTACCTTTGTTCACCATGCCTCATCGCAAGGCAGCTCTCACTCCAAGGAAAATTGGTACTCTCCTCTTCCTATCTGATAGTTCTGACTCTGATGGAAGTGGAAATGAAGACGAATTCTTTGGCTTTGATCAGTTAGTGACCGAAAGGAATGACCAGGATATTGATAATAGCGCAGAAAACCCTGACGATCCTCAACCTTCTACCTCTGGTGTGGGCACTCCTCAGTCATGGTCAGTTGTACCTCATTGCAAGAGAAAACTATTACTTTCGCATGGCCAGGCCTCTGACTTCAGTAATGATGATGATAGTGACGTGGATTGTGATTTTATTGCTCTTGACGATCATTCGAGTAGTGATAGTGAGGAAACATATTCACCAGTGAAGCGTCGGTATATATGCTGCTGCATGCGCTCGGGTAGTGTTCCCTATGCAGTGCCCAGGAAACGGAGTACATCCTGGAGTACATCCCGTCGCCCTACACCAGGAATAGACAGTGAAAGTGAGGATGATGTTGCTACACTTGGCATGGATAGACCACAGGCATCAGTAGGTGGTGGTAATGGTGATGGTAGTGCCACGGCCATGCGTGACTCACCAGCCCAGGCTGGGATCCATGCTGCTGACTCCTCAGTTCAAGGACAAAGCGGAGCACCAGCCCACCACAACCACAACTACCAGCACAACCAGCCTATGATGTCCAGTATCCACCAGCAAACCGTATGTGGGATTGGCAGCAAAATCCCAATTTTGTTCCCAAGCCCCAGCACTTTGATGACTCTCAAAGTGGAATTCTACCTACTTGTCCCCTTGAAACCACTGCCAATGAACTGGAATTTTTTGAATTATTCTTTGACCAGCCCTTGATGGAAACTATTGCCAGGGAAAGTAACAAGCATTTTGAGTACACCATGGCAAATACGATGGTATCACCACAGTCAAGACTACACCGGTGGAAAGAGACGACTGTTGCAGAAATGTATTTGCTTTTTGCAACAATAATGCTTATGCCTCATGTCTATAAGCATAATATAAAAGCATACTGGTCCACAGATCGGCTAATTTCTACCCCGGTCTTCAGTGAAATCATCCCAGTGAACAGGTTTATCTTACTGTTACGTATGTTGGACTTCTCTGACAAAACCAGGCCTGACAGAAGTGACAGGTTATACAAGATTAGAAATGTTTTTATGTATCTTAAAGAAAAGTTCAACATGTACTTTTATCCATTCAAGAATCTTGTACTTGACGAATCTTTGATTTTGTTCCAAGGTAGACTGTCATTCAAACAGTATATACCGAGCAAGAGGAAACGCTTTGGTATAAAACTGTTTGTACTCTGTGACTGTGGCAGTGGCCTGGTATTGGATATTGTTGTATACACGGGAAGTAAAACATTGAAAGATACCAGGATGTTATTGGGTATCTCAGGTGATGTAGTGAGAACCATGATGGCACCTTATCTTGGTAAGGGGCATACATTATATACCGATAACTGGTACACAAGCCCTTTACTCGGTGATTTCTTGCGAGTGAACAAGACGTATGTGTGGCACAGTGTGTTCTAATTGTAAATATATGCCCAGGTTCAATGCAGGTGCTCGTGGTGATAACGTGCAGGTGTTTACTGCCAGTGACATCATGGCATTACGGTGGCATGACAAACGAGATGTCACATTGTTGAAAACCATTCACCGTAACGAAATGCAAGACAGTGGCAAAGTTGATAGAATGACTAATGAACATATTCGAAAACCAGTGACTGATTGATTATACACAAAACATGCTCTTGATTGTCAAATGTGACATGCAGATTGGCTTTGTTGATTGTGTTCGTAAGAATTACAAGTGGTACATGAAACTTTTCTTCCATCTCATGGGCATTTCAATGCTCAATGCATATAATATGTACCAAGTGAAGACTGGCAACAGACCACCGTATGGTGAATTTTGTTTGTCTGTTGTCAGACAACTCGTAATGAATTACCAGGTAACAATGCCTGCTATACAAAACCATCCTCGAACTCCTCAGGATATACTCAAGCATTTGAGGAGGGAAGGTGATCACTTCATAATACAGCTTCCTGCAACTAAGAAGAAATTTGCTCAGAAGAGATGCATTGTCTGTGCACAAACAAAACGACGGCAACAAAGACGCAAAGACACTCGGTTTATGTGCGGGGAATGTAAGGTACCTTTGTGCAGGGTGCCTTGTTTCAAGGAGTTCCACAAGCTCCAACAGTTCTAAAAACATGCCCAGTGATTGTAAATATGTAAATATATGATGGAGCATTAGTATTATACAAGATTTGTGCATGTTTATTGTAATAAACAAAAGTTGTAAACAATAATATAATAACTTTAGTGTAGTTATTGTGTTCAATACAGTGAGTTTATATATATATATACATTATATACAGTATTGGTCTCTCAGGCCCCAAATGTTAGTAGGAAAAGAAAAAAATTGGAAAAGAAAAGAAAAAACTATAAAAAACGTAAAATACAGTAATGCGCGTATGTGGAAATCGTCGATGTTGCCGCCACCTGGGCATTTTAGGTCAACTTCTCAGCACTGTATCTCGGTAAGTACTGATCAGAAATTTTTTTTGTTTTATTACCTTCACAAAAATATACTCTTTAATTCTGTAAGACTTTTTTTTTTTTTTTCACTTCTCTCCATCTCCAATTTTCCTATATAGTGTTCTACACTACTGCCACCAGATGTAAACCAGATGTGCCTGTGTTAGTACTTCTACTCATACTCTCAACATGATAGATACCACAACAGTTGGTGACTGCTCAGTCAGTTGATATTTCTACATCATTAGCCAGGATATGTGATGGACCATCCTCGTCAGTTTTTTCTGATGATAGCCATTCATGCTGCTTGGCTCACCGGCTTTATGACCACTGACACCCTGCTGTGAGTGCAGGGTGTCAGAAAATAGTTCTGCGTGCATTATATTGAAAGGCTTTGTTCTGATTCACTACAAGTCATCTAGGAACATCATTCCTCAAGTTGTAGGTGTGAACCTACTTCCTTTTATGTTGGAGGTTGTAACACTTGACAATAAGTTACAAGTTCCTTCAGTTTTCTCTTGTGGTAATCCCTAGTGTCTAACATCTGCTGCAGGACTATGTAAGGTTAGCAGACTTCCAGCTACTCTTGATCCAAGTCTGACATGTCACACTAAACAGCAACTCAACTATGGCTACTGAAAGTGGCAGCCAGTAAAAGTCTCTCAGGTTTATTCGTGGTCATGTTGGAACTCTTAGTGGATGACATGCTACAGTACTGAAGAATAGTGTCCTCTCTTTCCTAGAACTTCAGTGAAATATCCTCAGAGCCATGACCTTTTGTATAATATTCTGATTCAGGATCAAGTCAGGCATCCCTCTAGGTTTTTCTTTGAAAATTGGGGGTGCCCATCAGCTTTGTTGCCCTATCCAGTTAAACATAATCACACCTGGCTCTGCTAAAACCCAAAATCTTTTCTGAGACAAGTTTTCTCCAGAGGTAAGACCTGGAAATATAAACACATATGCAGTATAATGTGATCCTTTATTGACAATGTTTTGCCCACACAGTGGGCTTTTTCAAGTCACAAACAGATCTACCTGGGGTGTAAGATACGCAAGTATTTATAGTCAGGTTCAGAATGCTGAGGTCAGGTGGAGAATGCTCCATCTGATGATGTACCGAGTGGGGTTATAGAGTCTAAAATCTTGGGTAGCTTGGAAGGGAGATTGGATAAGTTTGTGAGCAGACATTCTGCAGTGTTCTTCCATTCCTATGCTCTCATGTGGGATAGCAATGAAGAAGTTTCTTGGCAGTGGTTCAGCTGTGTTATAGAAGCCATTATTCTGGTTGAAGTTGTCGGATATAGAGATAAGCAATGATTCCAGGATTCTTCGGTATTGAGTGTTGTCTTCTGTTTCTTGAGTTTCTGTAGTTTATTAAATGGTTGTGTAAATTATGGTGTTGTACACAGGCATTCCTTGTATTGTCAGACCTGCTTGCATATTGGTGTTCTGAAATACGTGTTTGGAGGTCCCTTGATGTTTCGCCCACGTATAATTTGCTGCAGTCATTACAATGGATTATGTATACCCCTGCAGAGGATGGAAGCTTGTCCTGTCTATCACTGGTAATGTCGTAATAAAGTTGGTAGAATTACCGACAATATGTAAAGTAAAAGGACACAAGTGCAAGACATTTTATTGTGGCAACGTTTCGCTCTCCAGGAGCTTTATCAAGCCATTACAAACAATACATGGACACAGAGGGTATATATAGGCTCAGAGTGAGGTGCGATACTAGTGGTAGTGGTAGTAGTAGTAGTGATAAAAGTTGTAGTAGTAGTAATAGTAATACAATATGGTAGAACAATTAATTCGTACATGAGTAAAAGGATATAAAAGCTATTACTTGGGTAACATAAAAATAGGTTGGACAAATATAGACTGGATAGAGGCAGCCTGTTTCAGTGTTCACTCTCTGTAATGTGCTTTGTGTAGTATAACAGGAGAGACTGAGATGGCAGGGTTTACTGTTTTCAGGAGGATTCTTGCTAAGACTTCAGAGATGGTGAAGCTGCCATTGTTTTGTTTAATTGTATTCGAAACAGCGATCAGTGCTGATTCTAGGCACTTGCGTCTGCGGAAATTAGTTTCTTTGATCACTAA